AGCAGCGAAAACACGCGAAAAGCTAACCCATAAAAAGTGTTTGATTAATGTAATACAAAGATTTTTGCACTGAAAATTAAAGAGTCAAAATATTCTTTACATGTCCATTTTGAGTTTAGTGTAAAATTAAATTATTTCAGGGCCCTCCTTTAAGAATGTTTTATGTTCTTTTTCTTCTTTTCTCAAGAGGATTCCTCCTTTCCAAATGAAACTTTAAAAAATTTTAGGCAAAGCTTTCATTTTTGCATAACATTCTCAAGTTTAAAAGTTTATATTCTTGTAAGATAGCTGTTACCTCTTATCATAGTGTGGTATTTTCTTTCTCAGTTAAGTTGAAAGAAAATAAGACAGACAACGGCACAGTTATATTGTTTTGACTTTTATGTTCCTATCAGTCATGAATCTTGCTACATCAGGAAATGTTTGTATTTAAGGTAAATTGTTATGGGTACCATTGCTAAAGCTGTGCTGATCAAATCTAATATTCTAAAGCCAACTTAAATTGTTTAACAGTGTTATTATCTTGTCAGTTTAAAGATAATGGTAAACCAAAGCAATATGCCTGCTTCTAATATAAATAATCAAATACCACTCATGACATGGAGAATAAGAACAAAAATATTGCAATGAAAATTAGTAATCAGCTTCTTCAGTGCTGCATTTGTTATCGTTGCAATAAAAAACAGAAAATATTCTGATTTTGATACTTAACAATGGTGAAGGTAAAACAGGCCTGTTCTGTGGGGGGGGGTCCTTTTGTATTTACTTTGTTTATTGTCAAAGGTTTTACAAAAAAAAAAAAAAAAAAAAAAAAAACAATCTTTCCTTTTTTGGTTTTCCAAACTGAATTTATAAATCATATGATAATAAACACATCAAACCGTTTTATTGGATTAGAACAAAAAGATTTAGCACTCTATTTTTCCAGTAAGCATAATAGTCAATTCTTTATTTGTTATTCTGCAGCAGTTTTATACTATATTTTCTTGATTTTCATCTTGTTTTATTCAAGACTTATTCTGCTAATTACTGAGTTTTGTTGGAAAAATATGATATAGAGCCCTTGTTGTTGTTTTCTTTTATCATTGGATGGAGGTGCAGCTCAAAGTCTAGAGGACCCTGATTGAATTGATCTAAAGTGCTGCCGTTTACAAGCAGCCCCTTTGCAATTGGCACATTTTAATAGAGCACAGTCCCAGAAGGCTTGTTGCATCTGTGTTTGTTTGGTTCCTCGAGGCATGGAAAATACAAGTGGAATGAAGAAGGGGAAGTAACCTCAGGGGGGCAATGAAACACTACTGGGTCCCTCCAATTTAAAAGCTTTAAGCCAAGATAACTTTCTCCTTCAAACCTATAATAGTTTTATGGGACATCACAACAGAGTTGAGAGTAATACCTACTTTATGGGACAAAAACTGCATATGTTTGTCCAATAAGCTGTTGATTGGGGACTATATAGACAGCAGATTGCACATGAAAGAAGTTGGAATTAAACTAATATATTTTTTTTAACTCTCCTAAAGATAAATTGTGAAAGAGAGGTGCTTCATCTCAAACTCTTGCTGTAGGATGCAGCTCATGCAGCTCACTCAGGTCCCTCAATAAATCCCAGGCTGACACAAAAGCTGTCAGTGAACCGGTCCTGAATAGATTAATAAGATTTCCATAATTAGACAGGCCCCTGACAATAGGATCCTTTCGGCTTTGTCTCAGGGCCAACTGAATTGTTCGATCCATGCACGTCTGCTGGACGGTTGTCCACCACAAAGGCCGCACAGACAGTAAGGCGGTCAGCAGAGGAACATCTGTCCCTCCTGGGGCCAAGAAAACACATACAAAGAGTGGAAAGTTTTGCATGCATCGACAGAAGGTTCTTATCAGTCCTCTTGCAGCCAAAGAGGACCATCACTCAATATAGTAAAGATTTGTTCATAATTCCAAAGTAAACAGTATTTAAAAAATAACTTTTTAAGACTCAATTTGATCATATTGTGAAAGTACATTTATTAGTGAAAGAGAAAGTCTGTTCCCATACATTCTGGATTCCGACCTTCTCAAGAACTATAATGCCTCTGTCTACGCTTAATACACATTTTTATGTCTAACCCATGACATGTCGGTGAAGCTTCATGAGTTTGTAGTAGGAAAAGATGATGTAACTACAGCAGAAAATGCAGTCTAAGCAGTAATATTTACCAGTTTTGTGTTTGCCTTTCTCTGTTGGTAATTTACTGAATCTCTGATTGCACAGAAGCATATACCGAAGTTGATCTAATGAGTTTGCTGCCATCGTACGTTGTCCTGATTTCCTGCTTCTAATCTTAGCTTTCTTACCAGCCCTCCAATGAATTAATCTGGGAGATGGCTCTGATGTAGACAGAACCATAGATTAGAGCCTGCTCAGTTCATTGCAGGCTTTTCTCCTCTAAAAAACTGAATCTGCGAAAAGGCGGCATTTAATTACATGGAAAGGGCTCAACTCTGCCGAAATACTTTTGTGTTCATCAAAGATGAATGGTGCAGAGTTGCAGTACAATACACTTAAAATATAATAATAGTGAATTTTCTTTTCTGTAAGCATGAGCCAGGCTTGGGGGGTAATGTAACACTGTATTAGTGTTACACTGATGATGGAGTAGACAGCAGTCAGCCCATTTTACAGAGTCCTCTAATGTCTGCTATAGTCCCCTCAGAAAGGACAGAGTGCCTGCTGTCCACTCGTTCTCCTCTCCTTCTGTCTCTGCCTTCTTCCATCCCTCCCTCCCCGCTGCAGGTTTTATTAGCTCCCCTGGGCTCTCATCCATCTTTGTCACAAACAGGCCCCATTATTGGGGCTCCTCACAAACTGGTCTGACTACAGATGGGAAGGACCTGGAGGACATGTATGGGTTCTGTGGCCTGGACAAAAACCTGTAAGTCAGACACCCCCTCAAAAGAAAAACTAAAAACTGCAGAGAAGTGTATCAACGGCAAATGAAGTTGTGTGAGAATGTGACAGTTTGCTGCAGTGGGTTTGCAGCAGTATGGGCTGTCTAAAGCTTAGCAGAGCACTTGAACTGGTTTTGCAATTGGGAACTCAAGGCAGTCGATTTGAATATGAAGGACATGATAATCCAACGGCCATCTGGTCTGCTGCTCTCATCTGACTGAATAAACAGGCATAATCTGAAAACACACACGGGGAGGTGTGGAAAGACCCAGGTCAAAGTTAAGCAGCGAGATAGGAGAAACCAAATCTTAGGCTGTGCCCATTGAGATTTGATTTAAACAGCAATAAGAGTCCTGGTTCAGCACCTACAGACAGCCATGAATAATGAATCACCAGGCGGCTGCTGGAGGAAAAGCAAAAGAGCTGCAGCAATGACGGTTTATGCCATTTTCCTTTTTACCTCTCAATTCCTTCCAGGGGTATTTCTCACCGCGGGGTAAATTGTGACAGTTTGATAATGCCAAGCTATGTGTGGAATGTCAAGCTAATGCTTGAGCAGAACACAGGGCTAGCCCAGCCTAACCCAAAGCTGGGGAACTAGAAATATTAGCAAGGAACTGAAGGATATTTTTTACCATCTCTCTGTTTCTAGGCAGAGCTAATAAAGATGCATCGATTGAAAACATTATTTATAGAAATGTGTTTGTTTTTTCCGAGTGACATGGACCCTGCTTAAGTCAGCCAGAGGAGCAGTCATTCCCCCTCCAGTGTTCCCACAGGAGCCTGTGCTGATGAATAGCTCACTATGCTTCTCTTCCAGTACACCCCCTTTCTCTTTCTAACTCTCTCTAAACAACTGTCCATGCACACACACACACCACACACCCTTCTTTACTTTCCTCCTTGTGTCCAGCGAGCCATTCTAAGAGCTGATGTACGGTGGGTGGGTCCGTGGGTGGTAGGAGGGGGTGTGGGGTGGAGAGCAGGCATTCACAGCAACATGGACAAGGAGATAACAATAGCTCCTCTGGGAGACTTGCAGATGCTACTGGTAGGGTGAACAGTTGAGGGGTCTTTTCGGTACACCGTCATAGGCTGGGAAACTGCAAAGCAACACATGCATACAACTGATTTACTTTCGGTCGTTCTTTCTGCTGCTTCCTATGTTTTCCTGTGGCTCCCCTTTAGCTCCCCCTCCCACTTTAGGAAATTTGACACTGCTGTGTTGCCAAACTTGGCAGCCACACTGAGAAAAGATGCATTTTCTGACGGTTCACTACTTGGTTTTAAGTTTTTTTGAGAGGAGGAGGCTTTGATCAACTGTCACTTTAAACAAAATAATTAAAGAAATACTAAAGATGCACCTATCAGAGATGTGCCAGGGATTTCTAATCTATAACTACTATTTTTTTGAATGTGCTGAATCTGGTTTCTGTTATTCCTGTAGTGTTTGGTGCAGAGTAGTGGTCCAAGACAAAATTAAAAACATTTAAAAATTTTATATTTTGATTTACATTATATCATAGAATGTTTTGAATTAATCCACTTTTTTGTCCACTCCTCGCTTTGTTTTTTCATGTTTTAATAAGACGAAATCTTTGCACAATGACCATTGTAAGCATTATTGTAAGCATCTGTTTCTTTGTGTACCTCCAGAGAACAGATCCTTTACTCCAAAAGCGGCTCAACCTTTTTCAGATCCAGCATGTTTTACAACAGAGGCTAAAAGCTCAGCACATTAAGAGAGAAAAATGTTGCTGTAATATGTAGCCAATAGAAAAGTCATTCATTTTCCAAGCAGATTTCTCAATGTACTGCTATTTCACAATCTGTATTAAAACAAACATATGCTTGTATTGTGTCTGTACAGCTAATGGTTTTTTAATAATAAGATTAACCCTAGTGAAATGAAGTCCATCCATCCATCCATCCATCCATCCATCCATCCATCCATCCATCCATCCATCCATCCATCCATCCATCCATCCATCCATCCTCTAAAAATAGAATCGAGCAATAACATTTTTGCAATATTTGTATGCATAATAATATGTCTTGTTTGTCTTTCTAGGCCTGTTAAAGATGCACTGGAACCCAGAGCATGCCCAGCCCCTCAGCCAGTGGCCTGAGCAGCACCTGGACATTACCTCCACCACCTCCTCTCCAGCCCACAAGGCGGAAATCTACTCCAGCCGTGGACGCAGCTCCTACAACTATGCCTGGGCCAATGATGACATCTCTGCCCTCACAGCCTCAAACCTTTTGAAGCGCTATGCTGAGAAGTATGCAGGTGTGCTAGACTCTCCATACGACCGACCTCCCACAGTGGGAACATACCCAGAGCCGGGGCCTTTTGGGGGCCTTAATGGCCAGAAGACGGAACTGGAACCGTGGCCACTGACCCACAACGCTGATGCTTCCTATCCTTTGGTTGCTTCTGGAGGCCATGAGAGTCTTTCAGGCTCCAAGACTGCCACGTCTGCAGCCCCCCCTGGGCCGAACAGCGTGTCAGTAGTCAACAGCAATCTGTCAGACTCAGCCTACAGTGGCAGCAGCTCCTGCAGTGGTTCAACTGAGTACCCCTCTAGCTACAATGGCACCTATCTTTCGTCAGGGTTCTGTCCTCAGCCCAGTGCAGCACTTCCTCCCACCTCCCTCCACACTCTGCAACCCACAGCCACTTTGGTGCCCAGCTACAGCCCTAACACAGCTGTTTATAACTACCCACCAAGCACATACCCACCCCAGACTAGCCTTGCTACAAGCTACAGTCACCCTTCCACAACATACCTCCCTTCTGGTCTACCTTCTCCGACACCCATCCCCACAAGACCCACTGTAGTTGGAGGCTCATATAGTTACCAGAGCTCCAACCTTGGAGTATCTGAGAGTGGAGTCACGTTAAAAAGGAAGGCATTTGAAATGGGAGTAGAGGAGGATGACAGCGGGGATAGGTCACGGTACAGGAAATACAACTATGATGCCTTGAAGGCTGGAGGAAGCTCTCCCTACCGTGTGAATGACAAAACAGAGTCCAGAGGAAATGGATTTAGCAGTTCAGGCAGCACAGATCCTCAAACATTCAAGGCAAACAAGCCCTCCTCCCAGCCACTGGTATCTCCTCAGTTTGGGACTGGTGGAGAATACAGTCCACCTGCAGGCATGACAGGGGAGAACGGGGTAACAGAGCAAGGCTTCACTCAGCAGCAACAACGCCCTCAGTCACTGAAACATAATTCGCTATGTACAGCATCTGCTGAAGCTTTAAAGAGCCCAGACCCCCGACTGCTGGAGCTCATCAACGGAGAATTGTTAGATTGCCGTCCAGATCTGCTCTGGACTGAACTGTTTGGGCTCAATCATGTCAAGTCTGCCCTGGAGGAGGACCTGCTTTGGCCCGTATTAAGGCCAAGTCCTGTGATCCGGCCACCCAGAACTCTCCTGCTGTTTGGTCCCAGAGGAGGGGGTAAGAAGACACTAAGTCGTTCGCTGGCCTCCCAGATGGGGGCTTCCTTCTACACTGTGAGCGGACCAATGCTGGCCTCAAAGGGAAAGCTTGAAGCAGAGCGCATTTTAGGTTCTCTACTGCAGGTGGCAGGGGCACAGCAAGCCTCGGTGATACTGCTCAGTCAAGTTGAGGCGATGGAGGAGGAGGGGCTGATGCAGATACTGCTAACAACTCTAGAGAAAGTCCGGGTTGGCTCCACAGGTTTGGTTATTCTTGTGTGCACCACCGGAAGGCCCGATCTCCTGCAGGACGCGGTTCACCGAAGCTTTGCCAAGAAGTATTACGTTGGCCTCCCAGATGTAGCGACTCGTCAACATGTGCTGCTGCAGGCACTGCAGGGCTTCAACCTGTCAGAGAGGGAGCTAAATGCTGTACTGCAGCGCACCGAAGGCTTCTCAGTGTGGGAGCTGCTGCAGCTCAGCCAGCAAGTGCTCTCCTCATCGTCCTCCCCACCTGGAGCCATGCATAGACTCACCAACTCCCCAAAACCTCTGAACTTTACAGATTTTGAGAATGCCTTTTGCAAGGTGCGTCCACACACCACCACAAAGGACTTGGATACTTGTATAGAGTGGAGCAAAATGTATAGCCACTGAGAAAGCAGCTAGTCACAGTACTTGGACTGCACTACAATTCTGTTTTTGCATTGGCATTTAAAGCCTTGGGTATATTTTGCTGTTATTTCTTTATTACTGATTATGCAGCCAAAAGATCCAGAGAATCTTGAGGGTAGGGGTAGTGCTGAGAAAGTAATTTCACTGGCAGGAACCTGACATGGTGTACCGTTTGTTTTGCCCAGAAGACTGACAATATTTGATGTTTTCCCAAAGATAAAGTGAGGTGAAGGTGTAATACTTCTTTAGCCAACAGGGAAAATCTGAGAGGTATTTAGATTCTCTCCAAGATCCTGATTAGCCTTGGTCTAGGAAAAAAATCTGTAATTTGTTGCTAGGTTCAAGATTATGGATAATCAGGTTTTGGAAAAATCCCCCATTTGGCTGTTACTCTCAGGTTCCTATTTATTACCAATCCACCGCCATGTTATTGTACAACCAAAGGATGTAGTAACAGGATCGTTGTGCAAAGGGCTTAGGATTAGTAACACTTCTGCAACCTTTTTTTTTTTTTTTTACCAAAAACATGGAAAACCAAATAGATAGGTAAAGCACTGATAATTTCTTTAAACAGACCCATCTTAACAAAGTAAAGGTGACAGCATGTTAATGTTCACAGTAGATTTTTACCAAACTATGATGCAAAAAACCTTCTCTGAGAAAGCAAGCACAGGAGAAGTGACTCTAGAGCTGATTTGTCCTTGAATACAGTTGTTGTATTCCAATGTTTTTATGTTTTGTTGCAGAACAGCTTCTTATGCTCCCTCATCTAGTCACCAAATGTACTGTGCTTACATTATAGTACAATTAACCCACTACCTGTTTTATGATTCACATTCCTGAACAGGTACATTTTCTCACCCACAAAACAAAACCTGCACATTCACCTTTGTCCCCCAACCTTTTTATTTTCCTGCCTCTCTTCGTCCTTTTTACTTGTATGATGAAATGTTGTTTGAAATGCTCAGGAAGAATTTCTTTACCTCAGAAATATGAAATAAAGAATGTATGTAATCTTAGGGTCTTAGAGGAGAATGAGATAGAGGAGTGAGGAGGACCGTGACAGTCTTGTGAAAAACTCACTGCAGCTGGGCTTGTACCTCAGCAGAGAAACTTGAATATTCTACAAAGAGTAACAATGAATGTAATTCAGGTATTTCAAAGGATATTTGATGCCATAAATCCATGTATTACTATATAAATATATATATGAATATATAAAACATGTTTTGTTTATTTCAGTTCTTCTATGGTTTATTTTTATTGTAGTATATGGTGAAGTGATGATTGTCTTTGAGAAAAGTAGATAACAGAAAATAGTTCTTTTGTTAGACAAACTGCTCCAAAATCTTGGAAATGCTTTCTTTAATATTTTCCTATCTTGTCAAAAACCAACACACACTGGTATGGTTTTTAGTACTCCTGGTAAAGATGTGTAAAAAACCTTAAACCCCCAAAACGTATTTTTCCAGTAGCATAAAGTTACACACATTAATTTGAGAACATTTGTTCATCAGTTTTAAGTTGTAGATAGCAGTCCAAGTTTAAAACCTATCCAAAATGTGGATGTACACGCCAAAAAGGATTTTGCTCAACCCAATCATTTTCTAAGTAGTTGCTCACATTGGACCAACTAGGTTTGATTAAATACAAATCATGCTGCCTAAATCAGTGTGGCTGCCTATGTAGGACTTGCCTATGTCTCAAACTGGATAATCAATGCAAACTGGGTTATATATCTAAGGGCCCATATGGGTCCCAGTTTTAACCTGGAGTTGTCCTTTATCAACTCTGGTCTGGCATTGCATAACATGCGGGGCAATCCTATTAGAAATCTGTTTTTGGCTTGTTTCCTTTCAGTTTATGCCCAATTTGTAAATGCTATACATTTCAATTGAAAAACTATAGCAAATGCCAAATATATTTTTTCTGTTGTCAAACGGCAGTGGCACCAACTATTGCCAGCAGTGAAACCAACAACAGTACCACATGCAATATTTTTCTAATATTGTTGAATGTGTGACTTTTTTCTCTCCTTATGTTCAGTTAGGATTTCTTCTGGATTTCAAAGCATCTTGTCACTGTAAGTTTTTTTTTTTACACATCTTTACCAATGATGCTAGGAACTCTGACCTCAGCATTAGGTCTGCTGCTTTCATTGTTTCAGTATTTTATTTCTACATCGAAAATTAAACCAAGAACCAACAGTACTTCACTTACAGTCAGTATTTCAGCCCTTAGCTTAATTAAAAAGGATAGAAACATTAACCCCAAACCAATAGTTTAGACTAAGAATTTACTTGTGGGTGTTGAATATTTACGTACTAATGTGTGGATTAAGCCACAGAATAGACAATTCAGCAATATATCTCTTTCTACAGCATTCCTTCTAGAAGCTGGAAAAACCTAGTTAATGGCGAAGGGTTTGTATGTTTCAGGATGATGTAATATGTCACATTCGTTCCTTCCCTCCCACCCTCTGTCTTTCCTTGCTCATCATTCTCTTTCTTTCTCCCCGAATGTAATCTCATTTGACTGGATTGCCCCTGGCCACAAGCTCCTGTGACCATGTGGTGTTGAATCTGCTCCCCAACCCCCTACTCTTTCTCTTATTCTTCCCTTATTCTGATTTCTCCGGAGTGGAAGTGGACTGATTGATGCCCAGCAATCCTATATTGTAAAGCAGCCTTCCCTAACCAGCTGGTGGATTCAGTCTTGCCGTACAGCCATATCAATCAACATGACTCCCACTGTTTCAGCTAAAAAAAAAAAAAAACGCCAAAACAGTTCTGCCTCAAGCAACATTGCTTGGATAACCTACTATACAGGAATTAAATCTCCTTCTTTTTGCTAACAGTTTGTCCAACAAAAAAAGCATTTAATTTGTCCATTTTAAATCTGCCCACTGCATTAACTTTGCTCTTGTGCTTTTGGTTATTGTACATTATGTAACCATTTCTACCTCATTTTGCAGCATATTGTACATGAAAGTATTTATTTCATGTCTTTTTATTTGATGTCTGTTTTGAAATGATAATGATGTTCTTAAACTGTAATAGTCTACCTCAGAAAAGACTGTATTTTAAGAGAAGAGTATCACACAATATTAAACAGAATTTGTCAATATTGCAATATGGCTGTTTTTTTTTTCTATCTAGCTCACCTTTTGCTTTGCACAAATCTGAACGCTCTCTGCTTTTTCAGGTTTACACTAGTTTCATAAATCTCTTTCTCGATTACTTTTATAGTTTTGTAGATATATTCCAGGATTGATATTGCTGGAAAAACAAGAATAGTAACATGCAAAACCTTTTTTGTGACACGTGTTATATCTCAAAAGAATATGCATGAAAGAAAACGTAATGTTCAGATATGTTTTATGGTGTTATTTATTATAAAAAGTTTGGTTGCATACTGATGGTTGGTACATACTCCATCAGGATTTTATGGTAAAGAGCAGAATTCGGGAAAGCAAATATTCAAGGACCAGAAAAGCTGTCATAGACCAACACATTACCACATTTGGAGGTATTGTGGAGGAATTTTGTGCCCCTTCAAATAAAAAAAAAAAAAAAAGAACATGCACAACCTTTTACCCGCTCTTTTTGCTCCCTGTTGGTCATGTAATTCCTCCTCACTGCGTGGTGCCTGCGGCACCTTTATTATTAGTCGCTGCTGTTGGGCAGCGACAGCGGGCCGCTGTGGCAGTGAATGTTTTTTGTGAGGAGAGCTCTCTGGGCAAAGAATACCAGGATATATCTGCCAGACATGGGCAATGTGGAGTCAACAAGTCATCTCCATGTCATGTATTGGTTCTACCCAGCCAATTAACCAGGTGAGTCCAATCTGCACAGGTTAATTCACAGTGAAGATTGGACTCACCTGGTTAATTGGCTGGGTAGAACCAATACATGACATGGAGATGACTTGTTGACTCCACATTGCCCATGTCTGATATCTGCCTCTTCTGAGGTCTTTCTTTTCTTCTCATACACTTTGTAGACACTTTTTCTCTTACGACCCTTTGCCATTTTCAAAGAACCCCGGTGAGAAAGGTTAGCTCAATAGCCCCATTTACACTACGAGATTGGTCCGAGCATAGTAACCGAGATAAATGTTGAGTGTAAATGGTAAGCAAACTTTTTATACAACCCCATATTTTATGGTTTTTGGTACACTACTATTAAGCAATGTCCCCACTGCTGCAGAACTAGTTTAAATAAGTGTTGGTTGAATAAACAGAAACGGGGTATTCCTTGGAAAATAGAAGTGCAGACAGAAAACTGCCAGGCTTCCTGCATGTGTGTGCAAATAATTTTTCAGGCCTGCATGGACTTGCATTTTTTTTTTTATCTATGTGTGTGAACATGTGTGTGTCTGTCTCTGTGGCTGATAATGCTGTAGCTCCCAGATCAGCCACAGAAGCAGCACTAGCTCACCCCTGAGGCTGTGGGGCCCAGCACCAGAACGCAAAGGTCCTTTATCCCTGTCACTGTCTGTAAACAACACTTCGTCCCAGCGGCCTGCTTCTTGCTCTATTTCTGCTCCTTCCTGACATCTTTCAAAGACTCAAAAGTAACCGAGAGTTGTAAAATAAATGTAGGTACAGAAATTAATGTTCATCTAAAGCATGATGTACATTTATACATAACTGTTCAAAACACAGTGCCTATGAATACAGTTAGAACACTATTGCTGAGGATGCTGAAGTAAAAGACAAAAGTAATTAATTTTGTAATAATGATGCATTGCTCTGGTATAACCACAACCTTGAGCAGCAGTTGCCCTTCATCCTCTAGTGAAGGATAAAGGTTTTTGCAGCTGTTTGAGAATTGGTTCTAATCTTGAAGCTATTAACAGAATCAGTTGCACAGCACAAGGTTGTTTGGGCAACAGTGTGAAAGAAAACAATAAAAAATATATAAAATTACAGTAGCAGGGGTTTAATGTGCATTAAAAAACATATATAATTCCAGTGAGGTGTATTATATACATTCACCAGGGGCATTAATAATATTACATTGGGGAGTTTTGAGACAAAGTTACATTTTTTTTTTCTAGGTTGGTACAATAATACAACTTGATTGAGTTCTAAAAGGGTTATTTTTTTTCAGGGCCAAAGGTTTTTCCAAAAAAAATAAAATAAAAATATTTTGGCTCTGTATGGGTACACAAGATTAAATTTATTATTAATTTTCTCTACTCAAACCTGGGTCAAGAAGCTTAAATACACTGGTGCCAAGTCAGTTGGAATGCTTGTTTTTTTTTTCCAGAAACATTCATTCATTTTAAGGTCATTTGTGAAAAAGAACGATCAGTTAGGAGAACCCAGGAAGCTCTGCAAATAGGTAAGAAAATAATGAGAGAAATACATCTTAAATGTCAGAAATATTAACACTTCTCTAACTAAGCAAGAAATGTAACCAGTTTAATATTTATTGAACATTAGGTAATGCCTTTATTTGCGATAATTAGATTAATTGTGTGTCACAGAAACCTGGCTGCAGTAAGAGGATTGTGTTTGTATAAATGAGTCAACTCCTGGTATTTTGAACTTTTTTACACAAAGAGAAATTATGGGCAAGAAGTAGTAACCATCTTGGGGAGCTTAGGTAAATTATACATTAGATCATTCAATTCTTGCAGCAAAATGCTGCATATCTTTTATAAGTTTTGCAGAGACTGTGATCTTATCTGCAGTAATTTATTGTGGTAGTAGAATTAGAGTAAGGACTAAAAAAAAGCTTAATAAGCTAATAGAAAACACTTGCACTTTTTTGGAAACTCTTCTGGAACTTATGGAGACGATATACCATCTACTACTACTACTGTTTTCAGTTAGAAGCTTCTCTGGGTCCCCTGGAAGACAGACGGCTACAGGAAGGCCTTCCTGACTACCGCCATCGGTGTCCAGAACTCCTTAAAAAATCAGAACTATAAGAGCTAAATTTAATGTAATTTCAGTCAGATTAATTGATAAGTTCAAAGCCAATTAATCAATAGAATTATTTTGAAAATCTAACCTTTAGCTTCCCCAAGTACAAATTGTAAGGCATTAAAACTATTTAATACTGATAAATGTATTATAATGAGGGATCAAAATTGACATTGAAAGTTATTGCTTAAATACATGCTTTCACGTTAGAGAATTATTATCAGACAATGTGGTAACAGATTTTAAGGTAACTGTTACTTTTTTAATTCCCTTTATCACAGGAAAATGCTGCACAGTGCAAACATTTAATTACTTACCGTACACAAATTGATGACCTTATTGATGCAGGTACTTCTTTATTGCATGTTGAATTAGACAATATCTCCCCCTTAAGTAAAGGAATTTATTCATAGAGCTGACTCCCTGTTTTTATTAAGAACATTTTTTAAACACAATGCATGGAAACTGGAGCGAAAATGGCACTTTTAGTGTCTTGACAAAACTTTAGTGAATCTGGAATTAAATAATTGGCACCCTTCAAAACATTATGGTATCATTTTAAGAGAGGCATTATTGGAGGTAAATATAGAATTGGAATTGTGTGTGAACTGTTTTGATCCAACAGAGCTTTCTAAGTTATGAAAAAAAAAAGCTTCATCTAACCCTTCAGCTTAAAAACGTAAAGTATTTAAAAGAGCATTCCCTTTTATTTCCAACCAACCAATTAAAATTTTGACTATTTTAGATGTGATTAATCTATCCCTAGTACAGGAAATGTACTGTAGGCTTTTTTGGGTACCAGTAAATAATCCTTTACTTAATATGTCCTCTGTTGATCCAAATGACTTAATAGCTTATAGACTGGTAAATGGTTTGTTAATCAAGTGTGTAAGTTCCTACAAACCAATTAAATGGAGAATATAACTTGTTTGGGAGCACTTATCTCCAAAACTACAGGTTTAATAGTGGTTCGTATAATTTCTAAATGTGGAATGGGAGCCTTTTAGTTATCAGAGTCCTCTCCTGTGTATTCAGCTTACAGTTTTAATGTGAGGCAGGCATTCTGTTTGCTTTTAATACTAGGCTTTAAACTTTATCTTTTTATAAAGCCTATAGTTTGAGTGGCTTACATTATCCTGATCTATCTCTGTAGTAATGCAACCATAGCTTTACACTTCTTGAGGACATAGGGACTACTTTTCCTGACTCTACTACATACAACTTCCATCCTCCAACTTTGCATTAATTCAAGTCAATGAGTTGATGCAATCAGTTGGTTTTCCTTAGATAGAAAACTTTGAATCAATTTGACTGTACGATCTAATTGAATTGTGAAGTGCCTTGGGATGACATGTGTTGTGAAATGGTACTATATAAATCAACTGAATTGAATTGTTAAATCATCTTTTACCTTTAGGTTGTAAGTGTGTTAATTGCTGCTATAAAAATAGAAAAAAATACATTAAATCCAGGGCCAGCCCAAGTCACCATAGGGCCATGAGCAACATTTGAATTTAGCCCCATTATTATCACCTGCTGCAATCAATTGTTTAATGATCAGATCACTAACATACCAACTTAAAATGTTTTGCAGTTCAGGCAATGCTGTTTAGAGTCTAGTATTTGTACACATAATATACGTAGCAAAAAGTCATGAAATAAACTAGTATGCAGATTCGTTTACAGGAAAAGTGTTGCGCAAAAACAACATTTAGCTTAATAACAAACACATTTAATAGGTTGAAATAATAAACGTGTTCATACAAAATAGATATTATCAAATCAAATGATAAAATATTAACAATGTTTTTATATAATATAAATCAAAAGTTACCTGAACTAGGTAGAAAATGAAATTCAAATTTGAACAATTAGTTCTTA